AGGATGTGGGATGTTCTAGTTTTAGGGAAATAAGAAGATTAGCTCAGGATAGGTAGATGCATATTTTTGTAGAAAGGGTTATGCAGGTCAAAGTAGTATTACGTAAATGAAAGTTAGTATCAGCAATTTCTTATGCTGAAGTGTACGATGTGTTGCATACCTATTTACAAACAATTGATTACTATACATCTATTAAAAAACCATAATGGCCGACATCAGTAACAATGAGATAACAATTAAAAAAGAATGATGGCCGACACTACATCATAGTGGACCAATAAAAATGGCCGGGAGCAGGGGGGAGAATTAGTTAATATAAAAAAAAGATTATGCTTTTCAAAACTTTAATGGTAGGTAAATATATAATGCTTAATAGAGTAAGGTGAGAACACATTAGTAGTACAAGTAGTTTATAAAAAAGTTTAAATTAATTAAATCAAAAAGAGTTTGTGTATTCCATCATCATAGGGTCGTCAGTCGTCAGTCCTGATCTAATCTTCGCATTTCTCAACCTTAACTATGCATTCCATCGAAAATATTTTTTTTTTTAAACTTCGAATAATAGAGTGTAAAATTTTCGGATTTAAAATCAATGTTCATTATAAATATGTATATAAAATGTGCAGATATCAGAAACATAGTATGTAAACTTCGAGTCGCACCATTTTTTGGAGGTTCGACTGTATTTTAGGTATGTAATTTATGGATTTAAGGAGGCACTCAGAATTTCTATTTTGAAATTTTTATGTTATGTATACAAAGCATAGACTTCAACAGTAGTGGTAATTACTTTACATGAAATCAGGTCTTAAAGATCAGAAAATCAGTTCATGTAACATGGAATTTCACTTATGGGGAAGCCGTTCTAGCAGCAGTACTTAATAACTAAGACTGTAGCCATTCAAAAATTTCATTTCCATTGAAAACGCTATTTTATTATTATCTAGCAATATTACATTAAATTAGCATAAATACTTAACGTTATATATAACTGTTTTATATTAAAAGAGTTACGGTTATGTATTTAAAGACAACCCTACAGGTAGTAATTTTTAAATAATGCCTATAATTTATTGCTAAGCCCTTATCTTCTGAATGTATACCTACTACCTATATGTAGGGTTTTATTTAAAAAACTTATAATATGAGGTTTAATTTATATNATGCACAGGATGTCCTAAGAATGTGCCTATTAATAATGAAACAACTTCGAGCTTCTTTTTATTAGCTATTAACTGACATATTAAAAGCAGAAACATGAGTTAAGAGGAGTAGAGGTAGACCTAGATTATCCATTACAAATCATTAAAGATGTAGGATGGGTAAAGGTCTAGATGATGGCCCCCCACCCCCGATGGGAGGGATTGAAATAGGAGGTCTCCACCACCACTGTACCATAAATAGTTCGTGGCGGTCTCACCCCCTTAAAAAGTTATAGGGGTTCAAAATTAATAAATATTTCTAGACATGTAAATAGTTATACTTAAACAATATTCAAAGGTAATACTAATGGAAAAAATACTTGTCTCAATTAGGTACCTGTATCTATACCTATAAACTGATATTTACTACCTGTATCTAGCTGCTAAATACACTTGCCTTATATTTTAGCTTTTTATTAATATACCTTGTCTATTAAAAATGCACATAAATATTAAAAAAAAGATATTTACTGTGGAACACCATCAGAACGAAAAACAAAGTGCTGTCTATCTGTAACCTTCACTATATTAGTAAATATAGTAGAATTGCAAACTACAGTAAATCTGTCATGTTTTCATATTTACATGCTTACAACTATTCTATTATTTATATTATTCTTAGAATTCCTTCATGTCCATACATATTTTATTAACAGTTTTCGGAATTATATAGTGTACTAAGGAAAAGGGGAACGTTTTTATATAAATTTACATTTATGAAACTGATTTTTTTATGGTGTTAATAATGATTATACTTTTTTCGTTAATGCAAATATTGAATGTTATGTTTAGGAACCAGTTTTTGAAGTGAAACTTCTTTATTCCCCGATAGGAAGGAAATTTACTAGGGTATAAAATCGAAAAGTGTAAGGTGTTTAATGCCTGTTCTTGCAAGCAACAGCTAACCCTCGCTAAAAAGGATGAGTAACTTTTCGAAAATAATAAATAAACTTGTAGGGCATGCTATATTAGATAACAAAAATGCAATCCCTTTAGTAAAACGGTAAATATGCAGGGATTTCTTGTCTGATATAGTTTGTTAGCATAAGTTAAACCCTCAGTAAAAGGGATCGGTTTTATTTTTTTGTTACGGTATTTTCCTAAGATTGCAGTTCTAGTATGTTATTTTGAAGACATTTTGTACCTAATATAAAAAATTACCAGCGAAAATGAATAAATAGTAAGTAAATCTATGTTAGCTGTATTTTGTACAGATTGCTAATAGTCTTTGTTTCTGATGATCCCATGTAGATGGAAAGTGTAGCATGTTTTGTACAAGTTGTAATAGAAAATCTATGTAAGCGTTCGAGTTTCGGTAAATAAACGCTATCGGAGAGCTATTTCAAAATACAAAAGGTCATTGGATTTTATCTTGTTTACCAACGTTAAAACTGTAAAACTGAAATCAGGAGCGATAAATTTTACAGTATTTTGTAGTTATTGTTTCAAACGTTCAAGGTCTATGTTGTCTGAAGATATAGTCGGCAGGGCCGAACATTTTTTTTTTACTATTATTATTTTTTGCTGACTTAAAATACGTAATCCTGCAGTTACAACACGGTTGTCTACAAAAACTCTTTAAGAAGGTATAAATACAATCACGGAAATGTTATAAATAGTTCCTCAAACTTTCCTGAAACTTCTTTTATCCCAACAGGGTTTTTTGTGCGTCGTGTGTATGATATACGACTCTCCGTTGTCGGCTATTATGAATGCAAACTTATCGGCATACCGATCGCAGCCTGCGGCACTCGCTCACATCTTATGTATTTATATGGTAAAGAGTTTTGAAGAGGAAAAAGTAGTTTTTAGTGTGACATCTCCATGGTTACGGTAACAATGTCATTTACAGGATATGGACTCCATTCAGTTTCCCATTCTCTTGCATGATGAAGGTACATTTATGTATTTCGGTACTCCGAAGTGAACTTATGTGCATTAGGTATCTACTTTGCATAAAACGCGAAGGTAGCTGTCTTGTTTTCTTAACGTATGATTTATTTTTATCGACTG